AAAAAAAAAAAAAAAAAGAACGTCCACGGGCACCCACAGGTGTTCCTGGGGCACTGTAGCCAGCTGTCTATCCTTCGTTTTACAGTACCAGCTGGGACATCAGGGGCTGCCTCCCCGTCTCCTCATCCCAGGCTCTGCGCGGGCACCAGTGTTACCCGTTCTTTTTCCCTCTCTCTCATTGTCCCTCACACTCTGTGCTCTCTGATTTTCTCGCTGTCTCTGTCTCTCCCTCTCATGGTCTTTCTGTTTCTTACTCTCTTACACATTCTGTCTCTGTCACTCAACCATCGTCAGTTGCCGATTCTACCAGGCTCTGGGCTCGGACCTCACTTCAGGCACTAGATCGGTCGCTACACCTTGGACAAGTGACTGCTTCTCTCTGAGCCTTGATTTCCTCAGCTGTCAGATGGAAAGAAAGTCTCCACTCATCCCCAGATCTCTCCCTTGTGCTGGTCCCGTGCTCGACAGAGCTAGAGACATGGCTGTGGTGGGGATGACCCTGGACCCTGCTCCTGTGGGGCTTGCAGACCAGTGAGGAAGACAGACTTGTGTCCAGACAGCAACAGCCCCAAATGGGCAGGACTTCAGTGGGGGAGACAGAGCGGTAGGGGTGGGATGGAGAAAGCACAGCAGAGTGGTCAGGGCTGAAGTGAGTGAAGCACAGGGTATATGCCCAATCCGGCCTAGAAGATCAGGGAGGGCTTCCTGGAGGAAGGGACCACTGAACTAAGACCTGAAGTATGAGGAGCGGTCAGGGGAAGAAGCTGTACTTGACTCATTTTTCTTGGGTGTCTCCAGGGGAGTAGGATCCATGCGAGAGCCGGGCTCCGTGGCTCAGCCTATAATCCCGTGCCTTTGGGAGGCTGTGAGTGGATTGCCTGAGCCCGCAGGTTCGAGACCCGCCTGGGCAGGCAATATCTCATCTCTACAATAAAATCAAGAAATCAGCCAGGCGTGGTAGCGCATGCCTGTAATTCCGCCTACTCGGAAGGCTGAGGCGGAAGGATCGCCGGAGCCCAGCAGGTCGAGGCTGCGGTGGCCGGGAGCGGCCACTGCACTCCAGTCTGGGCGACAGAGTGAGACTCCAACTCAAAAAAATAAAAAATAAAAGATGACTACACACAGGTGGCCATGTTATCCTATGGTGCTTTCTTTGGCCAGGCCCTGATCTGGGTACTTTACAAATGAGGGAGATAATATTAACCATCCCCCATTCACAGATGAGGAAACTGAGGCATAGGGCAGGAGGTCTCTTGTCTTAGCCACAGAGGGAGTGACTGAGTTTATGTTCAGTCTCCCCATACTAGCTTCCTCCCAGATGGTGTGTCAGTATCAGCCTTGCTGCCGAGGGCCCACTTACTAAGCTTTTACCCTCTACCACACTCTGAGGAGGTTACAGAAAGGGTGACTCATGCTTGGAATCCAGTGCTTTGGGTGGCCGAGGCAGGAGGATCACTTGAAGCCAGGAGTTTGAGACCAGCCTGGGCAACATAGTGAGACCCCGTTTCTACAAAAATTTTAAAAATTAGCCATGTGTGGTGGTGCATGCCTGTAGTCCCAGCTACTTGGGAGGATAAGGCGGGAGGATCGCCTGAGCCCAGGAGTTTGAGGTTGCAGTGAGCTAGGATCATGCCACTGCCCTCCAGCCTGGGTGACAGAAGGAGACCCATTGGTGAAAAAAAATTGTTTTAAGCCAGGCCCTGACAGTAAACAAGTAGAAAAGACACGGGAGGGCATGCCAGGCAGAAGCAAGTGTGCAAAGGCCCGGAGGTGGGAAAGCATGTTGGACATCAGCTTTTGGCAAGTAGGTTTACTGTGACGGGAGTACGGAGTGAAAGAGGGAAGGAAGCCGGGCGCGGTGGCTCACGCCTGTAATCCTAGCACTTTGGGAGGCTGAGGTGGGGGGACTTCTTGAGCCCAGGAGTTTGAGACCAGCCTGAGCAATATAATGAGACCTAAAGAAAATTAGAAAATTAGCCCAGTGTGGTGACGTGTGCCTGTAGTCCAAGTTACTCGGGAGCCTGAGGTGGAAAGATCACCTGAGCCCAGGAGTTCAAGTCTACAGAGACCCCCACCTCAAACAATAAAAATAAAATAAGTTTTAAAAAATAAAAATAGGGGCAACCCTTTTGGGTCCCCTTCCACTGTGAAAGCTCCTCTATCCTCTCAATAAATCCTGCTTTCTCACTTAAAAAAGTAAAAAATAAAAATAAGCCAGCCTGGGCAACTGGGTGAGACCTCATCTCTACAATAAAAAAATAGAAAATTTGCCAGACGTGGTGGCACGTGCCTGTAGTTCTAGCTACTTGGAAGGCTGAGGCGGAAGGATCGCCTGAGCCCAGCAGGTCAAGGCTGCCGTGGCCATGAGTGTGCCACTGCACTCCAGCCTGGGTGACAGAGACTCCGACTCAAGTAAGTAAATAAATAAATAAAAAGAAAAAAGAAGGTGGAGGGCTGGATACAGGTACACTCTAGTGTCCCCAAATGACAATCTTGGAAATCTGACCTCTTTCCTAAGGGCACTAGAGAGCCATAGAAGAGTTTTGAGTAGGAGAAGGCATGGTTAGGTTTGGGATTTGGGACAATCCCCTCAGCTGCTGGGTGGGCTAGACCTGAGGGGAGGCTGGGGGTGGCCTGGGCCAGGGAAGGGAAGGAGGGGCAGGTGTAGGAGGCTCTCCTTGAGGAAGGGAGGCCCAGAGAAGTTGAAGTCCTTGGCCCGGATCACACTAGAAAGTGCAGAATTGGGATTTGAACCAGGTTTTAGTTGGTCACCTTTTCCATGAAAGCTCAGCAATATCTAGTGTTTAGCTCTTCCTCAGCCTCATGACCTTCTCAGTTCCTCACCAAGGTCATTGTCAACCTTGTTGCTAAAGTCAGCATGGGGTGAGGAGGCAGTTGCCTCTCATCTCGAGAGAGAGGCCTGTGTGATTCTGCTTCTGCATCTCACCGCTTCTCCTTACAAATTTCTCTAAAAAAACCAAAAACAAGCCGGGCTCGGTGGCTCAGCCTGTAATCCTGTGCCTTTGGGAGGCTGAGGTGAGTGGATTGCCTGAGCCCGCGAGTTTGAGACCCGCCTGGGCAACGAGACCTCATCTCTACAATAAATCAAAAAATCAGCCGGACGTGGTAGCGCAGGCCTGTAATTCGGGCTACTCGGAAGGCTGAGGCGGAAGGATCGCCGGAGCCCAGCAGGTCGAGGCTGCGGTGGCCGGGAGCGGCCACTGCACTCCAGTCTGGGTGACAGAGTGACTCCAGCTCAAAAAAAAAAAAAAAAAATTAACAGGTACATAAGAGTGCACAGTGGAAAGTAAGCCTTTTTCCTTCATTCGACTATGCTGATATCTCAAGTCTCCTTCCAGGCATAGTCTGTGCATGTCCCAGCAACGTGCATGTGTGTGTCATGTATTTTTCACCCTGCAAAAGTGGTACCTAGTATGATGAGGTTACAATGACAGGCTCTGGTGGCAAAGTCTCTGGGTGTAAATCTGAACTCTGTCACTCCCAAGCTATGTGGCTTTGGGCAAGTGATTTCACCTCAGTGTGCTTAAGTTTGCTAATCTGTAAAATAGGCTGGCAGGGACACCTGCCTCATGGCCTTGATTGAGAAGTAAGCAACTTGCCGGGCTCGGTGGCTCAGCCTGTAATCCCGCGCCTTGGGAGGCTGAGGTGAGTGGATTGCCTGAGCCCGCGGGTTCGAGACCCACCTGGGCAGTGAGACCTCATCTCTACAATAAATAAAAAAATCAGCCGGGCGTGGTAGTGCATGCCTATAATTCTGGCTACTCGGAAGGCTGAGGCGGAAGGATCGCTGGAGCCCAGCAGGTGAGGCTGCGGTGGCCGGAAGCAGACACTGCACTCCAGTCTGGGTGACCGAGTGAGACTCCAACTCAAAAAAAAAAAAAAATCGTTTTGACATCCCCTGTTTACCGATATGTGTATGTTTTCCTTTTTTTTTTTTTTGCTGGTAAACAGTGCTGCAGTGAATCTTGTTCCCTCAAGATCTAACAATTCCCCTGGTGGAACTGTATTCCCAAGCTAGGGATCCCATAAAGAGATCCCACTTACTTTCTGGTGAGTCAGAAGGGCCCAGGTACATGGCTGCTGAGTTTCTTCCCTGGGGTGAATTCACCCTTCCTGGGGCTGTGGGGGTGGGCTGGGGTGAGAAGGATAGACTTCCACCAGTTGTTCCCTTCGATAAGCACACCTCTTCTGGGCGATGCTGGACAGGGCTGGGGAACAACAGTTATGGGAAAAACCCTGCCCTGTTACAGCCCAAAGCTCTTAATCCAGGGGGAAGGAAAGACTCATTCCTAGCCAGTCGTGCTGGGGTGGGGGCTGGTCACATATCACAGACAAGACCTGAAGGCAGGATGGCGGTCAACCTGGTACAAAGTAGGGAACAGTACTCCAGAGTGTGAACAGGTCTGGAGAAGGCAGCATGCCTCACGGAGGATGTTCAAGTCGCTCTGTATGATTAGCAAGGTCTGTGGGGAAGAAAGGAAATGAGCTGGGTAGAACGACAGGGATGAAATTACGCAGGGCTCCGGAAACCAGCTGAGGAGTTCAGATGTTTTCCCCAGGTCCTGGAGAGTCATGGAAGGTTTGAGAGCACTGGTTCTCCTGATCGTTAGTATCAGCATCACTTGGGAACTGGCTAGAAATACCAATTCTGGAGCCTCACACCAGATCTACTGAATCAAAAACTATGGGTGTAGCCTGGTGATTTTTCTTTTCTTCTTTTTTGTTTTTTTTTTAGAGAAATTTGTAAGGAGAAGCGGTGAGATGCAGAAGCAGAGTCACACAGGCCTCTCTCTCGAGATGAGAGGCAACTGCCTCCTCACCCCATGCTGACTTTAGCAACAAGGTTGACAATGACCTTGGTGAGGAACTGAGAAGGCCAGGAGGCTGAGGAAGAGCTAAACACTGGGGTGGTGGTATCTGTAGTCCCAGCTACTTGGGAAGCCAAGATGGAAGGATCACAAGACGCCAGGAGTTCAAAGACAGCTTGAGCAACATAGAAGACCCTCTTTTTTTTTTTTTGAGTTGGAGTCTCACTCAGTCACCCAGACTGGAGTGCAGTGGCATGCTCACAGCTACTGCAGCCTCGACCTGCTAGGCTTAGGTGATCCTTCTGCCTCAGCCTTCCAAGTAGCTGGAACCGCAGGCATGTGCCACCACTCCTGACTGACTTTTTGATTTATTGTAGAGACGAGGTCTCACCATGTTGCTCAGGTTGGTCTTGAACTCCTGGGCTCAGGCAATCCTTTCGCCTCTGCCTCCCAAAGTACTGGGATATAGGGCGTGAGCCACTGCGCTCAGCCAACAGCACCATTTTTTTTTTTTTTTTTTTT